ATATATATATATATATATAATTTTAAATGGTTATAGGATGTTATTAGCTTATCAGATTATATGACTTATTTTTGTTACTTAGGCAATATTTGGGACTGTCGATCAACGAGTGTGTTGGGTACAACTTTCCATGCCGCTTTAATATAGCCTAATATGCATAGGGGACCATAAGGATTATAAGGATTCCATCTAGTGCACAGTGCAGGAATGGTATCCCTTGTTCTTTTATTTATTAATTTATTCAACGAGAAGATAAAGCGTTTTATTATTGTTATTATTATTATTATTATTATTATTATTTTGATACAAGTAATGGGGTTTTCCCCCATCACGAGTTTCTGGTTTGTAGAAGGGAATGCGAGCCGCCTGTCGTTGGAGTGAATCCACAAACGTCTCAGCATTCACGGTGGGGAATGATGGAGTCGTGCGGGTGGTGAGAGAGCACAACCCCGGGCATAAAAACAGTCATATACCCCCCACTGTGAGAATCACACCATGAATCATTACACAAATCTTTTATGAACAATATCAGCTCTGTATTTCCTCGGTAGGACGCGTAGAAGTAGTCAAGACAGTGAGTGATTTAGTGAAGCGAATTAGTGTGTTTCGATCGGACTGTTAAGGAAAGGCCGTGAAGCGTGGATTTTACATTTGTAAAGTAGGGGTTTTTATTTATTTATTTATTTATTTGTTTGTTTTTTGAAAATCATATTTTGGTCATAGTTACATTGTCTAGAATTAGCCTATTTTGACATTGAAATGTATTTATTTATTTTTTTTAAATATGTTGTCAGATTTAGTGCAATGCAATTGGTAAAGAGATGCCTGCTACTTTGTGGCAATTATAGCTCATATATAGGCCTAACAAGTGATATGGAAACTATATATATATATATATACATATATATATATATATATATAAACAAGAAGTCAAATTTTCCTTACCTCAGCAATCCAATACTAATGTATTTAAAATAATAGTAAAAAAAAAATGAAATGGAGCATCATAGAGATAAATGTGTTAGTATTATTATTCTTAATAATACTAATAATAATACTAATACTACTACTACTACTACTACTACTAATACTAATAATAATGGGAGAACACCATGTACACTCAAATGCTTTCAATAGAGGGTGCTGTTGTTCTTTTTAGTCATGGCCCAGTTTGCTTACCACAGTTTTGTCTCAGAGGGCCACTCAAAAAGATTGAGCGCCACCGTCTGTGTTGCTCATGCTCCCCAGGGATGCAGAATTCAATCTAGCAGAGGCTCTGGCTAATGCTGTGGCACTTTGTCAGGATTAACATCTTTCTAGTCAGTGGCTTCTGTTACCTTTGGTGTCACATTACCACCTTGGAGTTGTGTGCAGGGAGAAAAAAAATGAATCCCCGGTATCTTGCTCTTGAATTGTGTTGGGTGCTGCGCTGCTCCAGTCCCACATCACTGCGAGTCGATAGAGGAAGAGACTCAGTCATTTTCAACAAATAAAGGCATTTGTCATGGTGACTGGTGAAGCCCTTTTTATTTTTTACATCAAGCCACATCCAAACAAGGCAGGGAGATCTCTGTGCTGAGTTTATTTTTCAATTAAAGAAATGAATACCTCAACTAGAACAGATTTTCAGAGCTCTTCTGATCAGTCCATATTCCGTGAGGGAGCGTTTCATTTGAGGTTTCATTAAAGCAAGTCGTTTGAAAGGCAAAGACGAAGTTACGATCAGACAAACAGTGCTTTTGAACATCATTTGGCTTTGCTGAAAAAAAGGTAAATTAATCTCCACGCCTAGGTAAATTCAGTCATGTTGATGCATGAAGAAAGTCTGATTCTGATTCTGCTGGCAGCCTCCTCGGCAGTATGGTCTCATTGTGATGGTTTCTACTCAGGCGCAGAATAATGATGATTATATCGGCACTTGGACAGGGCCAAGTTGTTTGTGCCAACTGTCTCCATTGCAGGAATCTCAGTGACCTTGGAACACATAAATACAATTTTTTGACTGGTAGCATGGTGCTATATGAGAACCCTACACTTTCTAGTGTATAAAGCACTTTCCTGGTGATTGATTAATTGCTTCATTTGATCTGATACTCAGCTTATACAACGGCCTGCATATTTAAGTGTTTTTACAAAGAGTCATGAAGAGAGTCTACAATTACCACTCTGAAATATGGTGGATGATATTTGGCAACAGGAGAATACATTGGATGCGTTTGTTTTTTTTTAAATTCTCCTCAAAGAATTATTAATAGAGTATTTGACACAGTGGAGAATTATAGCTTCATTTATACAAAGCAGCCTTCATGCTGAACGTGGTTGTACTAATCACTGCGTGGGTGCTTGGAATGCATCCATTCACCCTTATGAAGAGCAATTAGCAAAGCAGAAAATCATCCTTTTATACGCTAACTTTTAGAGCAGGGGCTGATTTTCTTTTCTTCCTTTCATTCTTTTAATGCCTTACTTTAGAAGGCGGTGCAATGAAAAAACATTACTCATCACTTATGATCTCACGGCTAATGCTATACGGAGATGTTGAGATTGTTGAAAGGATGCCTAATGAACAACACCTGAGTGGATCTTCTTAGTGATACAGAGGTATATGAGGATGTCTTTATATGAACAGCGTAAGATGATCGGCCGCAACGTGCCAGTTGCAGTTTGGTGTTTGTTGTTTTATGAGATTTGGTGTAATATGTGATCTCACATTGAAATGTTGGCAATCTGAAGCCTGCTGTTCTGAAAATGCATTGGATTATGAATGAAAACACAGGAATGCATTGTGAATTTGCTGCCAACAGTATGGCATGCTGGTTTTAGTCTTCACTGTTAATATTCTTCATTTACTCTGGCTAGCCTGGAGTGTGAAAGGCCAAGTAGATTTTGTCAAAGCAGTTTGGAAATACTTTTTTTTTCTGATGTCAAGACCACTCTTTGATCTAGCACTATATCATCATACTGTTTTTTTTTTTTTACCTTTGCCTTTGAAGACCATGATGTAACCCCCCCCCTCTTTCACTGTTGAATTCTATATTATTTTATGAATAACTATTCATAGATCATTTACACCACATATTTTAAGATGATTCAAGTGCACTGGTGTTCTCCTGCTTGCTTTTATGTTCCTCATTTAAGTGCAGCAAAATATAATGAATTTATTAAATTAAATGAAAAAAAAAGAAACAATAAAAATATACATTTTATTTTATTTGCTTATTTTTGTGGCGCTATCAAGCACAGATTTTATTTTTATTTATATTTATGGTATTACCTCAAATAAATGGCATTGGGAATTATAAGCTAGTACATTAAGGATTGACATTAACTGTGAGGTTTGAATGTGTATTTTGTTGTTTCTTTCATTGTAGATATTTATCTTAACTTATTCAGTCTTATCCTTGTTATAAAACTAGATTTTACACAATACAATTCTGTTGGCTAACATTTAAACTGGCTAATTTTGATATTTTGTTCTATAGGCCCAGTCATTAAAATACTTCTTGATTTATTTTATTTTTTTTAATTAATCCAAAATACCAAATCTTGTTGCGTTCTCACAGAGCTGACCTTTAGAAAGAAAGCACTGGTCATAAGTGATGTGTCGTAGGTGTATGGCCAGTAATAGGCCTGATTCTTCTCTCAGGCTTGCTTGGCCACAAAATAGCAGATAGCATTATCCTGAACCCATTTCCACACAGCACAATTAGACATGAGATGCGTAACCTTTTCTTCAATAATGCATCCTACGACAGAAGTGCCACCCCTCCTTTCCCTCTCAGTTTGAATTCCAGCCGTAATACCACTGATAAAACAGACGTGATGGGTCAGATACAGGAAGCACAGGAATATTGTATTCTCCACATGCAGTCCTAACACATTAGGACAACAACATGTGGTTGTGTGAATATGTTTTTCTATGCATTAGTTCATGCCGTTCCATGAATTTCTGTAAGTAAACAAGTAGCTTATTTATGAGTCCAGATACCAGCCATCTGGGTTAGTGTTGCTGAGGGTTTTCACAGGTTTGCAACTCTTCCTTTGGAGTTAGAAAGGGGTGGGAGGATGAACAGATCTGCAATGACACGCTCCATTACTCCTTCTTTGCATCTGCAATAAAGCTAATTATTGGGTTTCCCCTGTTTAAGCCCAGCGTAGCCACAGTGCACAATAACACTAATATTCAAGACACTGAATACAATAAGCATGGACTGCATTCCTCGTAGACCAATCAGAGCACACCGACACAAATGGATCACAAATACCCCCTCCTGTTCCTTCTGAAAGTGAACTAACATCTTTTAATTTACAGATCACCCATAGCCCGCAATCAAAGCGTTAAGTGCTCTGGGATCATTATCTGGTGGCATATGGTGATGAATTTGCATAATACGCTAATACTTCATCCAACTCTCTTCCTTTTATCCTTCACTGTGCTATTGGCAATGTACAATTTGGTGCAATTAAACTTTTCCCTGAGATGTACATTCATTGTTATTTTGTCTAATTA